TCGCTCTTGCTCAGGCTGGTTTCAAACTCCTGAGCTCAAACAATCTGCCCGCCTCGGCCTCCCAGAGAGCTAGGATTACAGGAGTGAGCCACCGAGCCCGGCCTCAACAGGGGTTCTTAACAAACAGGTTAGGATTAGTCCTCCAAACGAAGTACTTCTCAAAGTAATTACTCTGGAAAAGGCCATATGCTTATTCCAAAGATAATACTAGGGATCCAAAATACTTTTGCACCCTTCTTTGGGAATTTTCTCCAGAGCCTACTTATGGGCCCTGCAAAAAACCAAAATCTATCTCATTACTTACATGTTACTAAGTCAGTTCACATCGTAAGTTTTGCCCAGGAATTTTAAGCCTATTCACATTTGGCATGCTAACAATTAGTTGTTTCTCGAACCTAAACCTGCCCTCTAAGGACAAGGACTTGGCTGTCCGTGAGTGACTGAGTTCTGCAGCAGTTTCCAAAGAGCAGTCCCAAACCATGCTGAACCAAGAGTACATGAAATAAACACATAACAAAAACAAATGTCAAATCTGGGGTATGACCCCCCTTTCATCAAGATATTTACATAAGCATGACGCTATGCCAGGACCTAGGTTCACGGTGGTGAACACTGTGGTCAGGGGGACAGGCTCTGAGTCAGATCGCCTGGGTTGGAATTGAGCCTCTGTGGGTCACCAGCTATTGACACCCTCTCTGTGCATCAGTTTCTTCATCTGTAAAATGGGGATAATAACAGTCCTAGCTCAAGGGATCAAGAAGAGTAAATGAGTCGGTAGAGTTAAAATACCTAGCCCAGAACTTGTAATAACAAACACTCAAATGTCAAAGATCCTTGTTCTTGATCACTCAGCTGGTTATGATAAAACTGTAAACAACAAACACCCAAGTCTTTTGGATTTCAAAGTCCATGTTCTTTCCTCCTTAACCTTTTTTGCCTTACATATCCTTTAAGACTCTGATGAAAGCCACTGATCCTCCCTTATGTTTGGCTCATTCACTCATTTATTCATTCAACAAGTATCTCCTAAGTACCTACTATGTGACAGGCATGGGGAACTTGCGGGCCTAACAGTCTGGTAGGGAAAAGCAACATTTAAGACCTAATTACAGAGGAAAAGGGTACCATGAAAACATGGGGAGGGGAACCTAAACCAAGTAGGGCACAGGGAAGAATTCCCTGAGGAAGTTGTGTTTAAGCTGAGATCAGAAAAATGCCCAGGGCCAGGGTGCTTGGCTCCTAGGCCAAAAAGCCCAAATTCCATCTTGCTGTCCTCCAAGTGACCATCACTTTGAAAGAACAATATTTAACCAGAAACAAAACTCTGTGATTTGTCTGATGAAAAACAATCCTGTTTCTTTAGAGGACACTCCACACGGTCCCAGAATCCCTCCCAGGCTGCGAGTACACCCAGAAGGGCTAACACAATAACGTCCCTGAAATGTCTTCCTGGAAGCTGTTCCGTTCTGCTGTTGATACTTATGTGACTTACTCATTCTTTTCTGAAATGGAGGCTGCTATGCCACCAGTTCAAACTGAATTTGTGCAAACTCAGTTCTCAGACTTGGAACTGGTTGCAGAGTAGGTCCCTGCCTCAGTCTGCAGGGCAATAATTAGTTAAAGATCAGCAATATATCTAAGTTACCACTTCGGTAGGTTTTCCTGAAAAAAAAATCTGTCCTCTTGCCTCCTAGGCAGCTCGTGGGCCCAGAGACTGCAGCCAACATCAGTCCTGAGCCAGTACGAGGCTGGTGCAGAGCAGGGGGAAGCCCAGAGGCTCTGCAGAGCTCTCAGACTTTCACTGCGGGAGTCTGATGCTCTTGGAAGCCTGGGCTGACTGCCAGGAGGCAGCGGCTGCAGAGGATCGTGGAAAGCACATTGCTCTAGGCATCAGACTGCTGCCTCCAGGACCTGCTTCCTAACTGTGTGATACCGAACAAACTTCCCAGCCCCTCTGAGCCTCTATTTCTTCATCTGTAAAATGGGACACTGTGGGGATAAAATACACTACCGCATGTGAAGATGCTTTGTAAACTATAATGTATAATTCAAAAGTGGGGAATCATGATTGTTAAATGCACAGTTAGAACTGAAGAATGTCACGCTTATCAATGCTGTGAATTAAGGAACGAATTTGGTCTACAGAACTGAAGCCTGACACTGCCAAGTTTCCCAGAGGCCTAGGTTCTCCACCGCCTCCTCCTTTTTCAAACCACCAATGGCCCTGGGCTGCATGTGTGCTTATTTAGACTCAATTTATAAATATATTTTGGAATTGGAAAAGTGCCACAGTGTCAGAGGTATGCCTCAGACAATCTGGTTGACCAAAAAAGAAAAAGTGTTTCAAGATAGCCAGGTACATGGTTCACACCTGTAATCCCAGCGCTTTGGGAGGCCAAGGTGGGAGGATCATTCAAGGCCAGGAGTCCAAGACCAGCCTGGGCAACATAGCGAGACCTTGCCTCTAAAAAAAAAAAAAATATGGAGCTAATATATGTGAATCACTCAGAATGGATTTTTTAAAAAAACTGTGTCAGGAGCCATAAAAATGTTCTTAGGTTTCATCTAATAATCTATTTCTAAGAAGATATCCTAAGGAAATAACCCAAAACAGAAAAAAGATATTTATCTCAGCACTATATATTAATAGTACAAAACACTAAAAGTAATCTTCACGTCCAAAAGTAGAAGAATGGGTAGGTATATTATATCTCGTGCTCCAGAAGAAATATTATATTACACTGCTATTAAAATCTTTAAGCATAGGGTGAAAGCTCGTGGTATAATGTTAACTGCAACAAGCATGCTCAGAACTAAGTGTTCGCAAATAGTACAGGCAGCCAATAAAACGTGCATATGCAAAGACTTCAGGAGGAAATACATAAAAGAGCTGCTATATAGGGATTATGGGTCAGTTTTTCTCCGTGTTTCCTATTTTCTAAACTTTCTGTAATGTTAGTTTTACAACTAAAAATTTTTTACATTCAAAGAACACATGAAGGACTCTTAAGGAGACAGTCACAGAGCAGATGGGACCTGAGACCTGGCTCCAGCTGGACTCTGCTAGGATGTCCACATGGCCAAGCCAAAGCCACCCAGGACCATCCCACGAGCCACATCCTCCCAGACAGTGCCAATATCGCCCCATCCAAGTCAGCAAAGATAGTCAGCAAGGGGCAGACTACTGTTGGAACTGTGGTTTCCAGGTTCCTAATCCAGACCATTTTCCACTGGGAGAAACCTGGCCCAGCTGGGGTATCCCCACAAGCTTTAAGGGCCACTGAGGTTCCAGCGTGGCTGCCCTCTACACCCAGAGACAGCTTGTTTTTAAAGCTATGGCTTCCTCTCCCAGACTGTCACTGCGGCTTGGCGCCTGCTGACTTCCCACAGAGTTGGGCACAGAGCAGGTGAGCAAGGTGGAGCTGCCTCTAAGCAGAACGCCACCAGGCTGCCTGCTGTCCCCTGGGTGACAAATGATGGAGCGGCAGAGGGCTCACCTCGTCCATGCCAGAGGCAGTGAAGAAGATCCCCACCTCCTCGGCGTATCTCTGCAGCTCCCTGTACTGGTCGTGGCTGAACTCCAGGTGCCGTTTGTGCTCCCCGTATGTCTTCCCCCAGGAATGCTTCGAAGTGTATGGCCTCTCCAAGGCTTTCCGATTGAACTTGAATTCCAGCTCACTCTTCTGGAACTTGGCGCAATCAGCCCCACACTCCTGCAACACACATCAGGAAGCCTTTCAGTGATATGTCGCACATTCTCAGAGACAGCAGAAATGCTAGGGTAATCACGATGACATCACTATCTCTAAATCCAGCAGATTGTTTTTAGACCGACAGAGACCTTAAGGACCCCCAAAGAAGAGGAACAGGAAAAGCAAGAAAGTCCAGAAGGAAGAAAAGATTGTTTGAGGATGGAAGATCTCCCCCCTATTTTTCCCTTTTAAAATAATAATACAAAAAAAGGTAGGGCTTTTTTGCTTTGTTGTACATTGTAATATTAAAAATACTGAATCAAAGGGTTAAGGAAGATTTTAAGTTATATAACTCAGCAGAGGATAGTAAAATGAGCACTGGACCAGAATTGGGTAAAAAAAGTCAGATTCAGGCTTAACTCTGACCCTAACTCTTAGCTAAGTCACTTCCCATCTCTGGAGTCAGTCTCTCCATCTACATAAAGAGCAATTTGGGCCAGCTCCAGGACTTGTAAACTGTTCTGAGGAGCCCCTTGCAGGGGCAGGGAAACATTCTCTGACTTCAACAATAGCAACTCTGCTTTTTGCTGTTTTGCATTGGTGCTTTTCTGCATGTTCTGTTTGTTTGAACAACAAACACAAAAAACAACCTGAGAAATACCCCAGCCTAGGTAATCTCTACTGAGCAGAAGTGATTATATAAAAGCTGGATAGTCTGATTGTGAAAGCTATAACTCTATTGCCCGTCAGCCTCCAATCTCCCAAAATTGTTTTTAAAAAACTACTCAACAGGCCGGGCGCAGTGGCTCACGCCTGTAATCCTAGCTCTCTGGGAGGCC